AAATATATATATTTTTTCATAATGTCTATATTTTAAACAAACTTTATATTTTACTTTTACATTAGTTTATATTTTGTAACTTAGTATATAAATAAATAATATAATAGGTATAATTTATCGTGTTAAGATAAAATGTTTAGACCTCTATAGTGCCCAAAAAATAGATGTAATTTACGTATAAGTACATTAAAAACTAACAACATTAGCAAAGAAAAATCTAGTGCTCCGCAATAATTATGGTTAGTTTTAGTTTAAAAATGAGTATTATTTTATTAATGTTTCATATACGAAAACCAAATGGTATTTAAAAGAAACATTAGCGATTTAGTGATTGACATAAAAAACTGATAAATGATAGTTTAGATAAACTTTATGCCTGAAAAAATCTACTGATATGAGTTTATGACGTATTATTTAAAATTACTATGGTAGTATGGTTTAATATTAGGTATATACAATATATTATACAAAATATGATTATATATTCAATATTGTGTAAATATGTACATGTTTTAAATTTTTATCAATACAATTAAAACATTTAAAACAATATAAATTATAAACACTATGTATTACAACAGTATTTATTTAGTATATTTAGTATAGGTATACCTACCTGTTTTTAATAAAACTATATTTTTTTAATTATATGTTTAATTATCTACTTGAGAAATTTTACGAATACTTTTTAATTATTTATTTAAGAATGTTTATTAATTGAACAAAAAATAAAATAATTCAACTATTATAATAGTGCATATATGTATTGAATATTTCGTGGTGTTATTATATTATTATTATATAATACAACTATTATTATATTATTTACTATAGTTCATTAGTGTATTAAACAATATAATATTGTTGTTTTAGCAAATTTTGAGTACCTATAATTGCTATTTGCTATTGATGGGACATTTTATTACAAATTTCTTAAAGACCTTTTTTAAATTATGTAATATTAAATGATTGCGATTATAGGTTATATATTGAACTTGCTACTACGTACTATTTTAATATTTAAGTTATTGATTTTATTTTTTTTGTTCTTTTATCTATCTACTCGAAAAATGAATTTAATTGGTGTATATATACAATTTTTAGTTACATACTTAATATACAACACTTATTAAAATCTAAAGATTTGGTAATATGTGGTTAACTTATTATTATTTAAAACATCCAAAATGTTAGTTAAATTGTATCAAGTTTTAATATTATCGAATAAGAATATTGTACTTTGAGATTTAAATTAGAGACTATAGTTAATTTATGAATTAAGCATTTTAGGTACCTAGTTAAAATTACAATTATTAATACTTAATGTGGTACCTATGGACTATATGGTAAATAATTATTAGTTTAATTTGAAAAACTTATACATTTTCAAAAGTTATTGAATTCGATTACAATATAGGTATCAAGGACTTCTTTTGATATTTAATTAATCCATAATGTAGGTATTTTAAAAGTATTCAAATATTATGAATAAATTTGAAAAATGTTTCACCCAAGTATAAACATATGGTAGTTACTATAATTAGTTATATAACAAATTATGTAAATTATAACAATGATGGCCATTTAAATGGGTTTTAAAAAGCATTTTAGGTATATTGTATTTTTATTTAAGGCAGCCAACCGTCAGCTTAAAAAGAAATTAGAGCAGTTCCTATAAACACAAGTTACCTACCCAAACTATAAAGACGACATTTTACAAATATATATTTTTTTATTTCTTACTTTTCCCGAAACTTTCTGTTATACACAGCAGTACCCAATATTCTAACTACCTACAGTATTTTTTATTTTAATATTTTATGTAACCGTGTTTAGTTAGTATAGGTACTTTACTATATTTTAATTACTAATTTGTATAAATTCTGAAGTTAAAAAAATATAAAAGAGCGGGTAAGTGAATGTTGCTCTGATGTACAACAAGTGGGTTGGTAGTTGGTACAACTATAATGGCGATGGTGTTACATATTTTGAATTCAATGATATATATAATATTATCATTGTACCTATACGAAAAACGATTCTGAGTGGAGACGGTTTGTCAGTCAAGGATATATTTTTATATTATATTATTTATATTTATATTGTTTATTATTATGGTAGGTACCCGGTAAGTTGAATTTATATTATTTGCATATTTAAATATTACTATATCACAACAAAAACACTTCGTCGAACTCTGTGAACAAAAAACGACAAAGTAAAAAAAAAAAACCGTACGATTTCAATGATTCTTAGAAAAGGGTATCTCTTCATTGCACAATTTGTCTGATTTTATCCAATTTATTAAGTATTAACAGTATTATCAGTAGATAATTAGTTAGGACTGGTTAATGAAAAACACCAAATGTACACAGTTTAAATGGGCAACTCCTGCTTCGAGATAATATACAGTATTATACACTGTCGTGCCACAGCTAGATTTATTTTACTTAGCTGGCTGAATAATAATTATACTTACAAAGTTACAACAAAATAACTAAAAGCGTTATTCTTGTAATTTCGTAATTTAAAAATCGTAATTTGGTCCATATTCGAACTTAAAATAACTATAGAAAAAAAAACTGTTTTTGTATTATATTTTTAAGATTTTGACCATTATATTATGGTTTCCAATGTATAATCATGACCTAAATACCGCAAACGGCATGAAATTTAATTTTCTCCACCATAAGTTAATAGTTTTTCAACATTTTTCCGAAAACTACAGAAAAACAGATATTTTATAATTTACCACAGTCTTGATAAACTTACATTAGTCTGCGATATATTTCTAAACTATAGAGGTTTCATAGGGCCGTATTTACCTTTACTACTTCCCTCAAAAAAGTGTACCTATACCTAACCATAAAAAATCATTTAATATACCTAGTTTTTCCTCCTCTCCACCCAGGATGTAAAATTTAAAATACTATATACCACATTGTCAAAGTCATTTATTGTTTCATACTTTCATTGCACAATCGAATTAATGACACATTGATACTGTTAATTTGTTTATTATTACAAATATAAATAAGGTCTAAATTATATATTTAATTTGTTGACTGTGGTAGTGTGGTGTTATATTTTAATATGTACCTAATGTATTTTAATTAAAATTGTTTACTATTTTGAAAGCAACTGTGAACTGACTAATAATAGAATATTTAGATTAAATTGTGCGTCTATAGAGTCTAATCTCTTTTCTATGGTCTAGACTATCGAAAATTAATACACAAGGAGATTTTATTTGTTGGTTTTTCTGGTATTTTGTATATTTTTAGTGTCTACGGGCTACGAGTATATTTATAGTAATACAATATTAATACAGTCATTGAGTAGTGTACTCTGTATATTTACCGTTAAATGCCAGCAAAATGTTTCATGGTGCAATTAATATTTCATACCTCAAGGTTAAAAGAATTATTCAGAGGCAATGTAAAATTATTTCCATGTCGACAACGAACAATTTTTATAAATTTCACCTCAAAATAATAACATGTTCTAACTTCTAATAATATTAGGTAATGACGTAATAGTAATTAGGTCTGTAAAAACCAAATCCTACACATTAAGAAAACCAAAATAAACATTAATTTCCAAATAAATTATAGGACGTTTATGAAATTCATTCATTCATAATATTCGCGTACACTGCAAAACAAACTATATTATTTGTCAAACAGTATTTAAACGATTGTTTTGACAACATTCAAATTTGTTTCGTCTTTCTAATAAAATTTGTTTTTGTGCGTACGACTTAATAAGCAACTGAAAAATAAATAATAAATTAAGATAGTAGCCCTTTTTTCAAGATGAATCAATTAGTTTCTAAAAGCCACCTGGTTTCGGGAACACAGCGGGACGGCGATACTAACTATGGTTTAGAGAAATTTGTGTTTCGCAGGAATCATACTGAAATGTATATGCCACAGGACGATACAAACAACAAAGTGCAAACATAATAATATCCATAATATAATAACGGGCATTATATTACGCCGTAGAGACTAGGAATTCGAATACCTGCGTGATGATATTATGAGCAAAGCCGGTTTTTGCCGAAAAAACAGATGGAAAACACGTGATTCATCAGTACAGCCGGGAATACACCTATAATCTATATTATACAATAGAGCTATTAAAGCACCTTTTATAGTAATAATAAAATGCATCGTCGACGAAAGTCGTCTTGACAACCGGAACAGCAGTGATACTGGCTGGGAGAGAAATTTTGCCGTCAGGAACGTCAGCCAAAGGAGACGTATGTACGCAGGATAAGAAAAATGTCGACAGAGAGCAAAAAGACAATTTTAAATTAAAAAAAAATCGGCAACAGCAAAAATATTATTAAAAAACAAAATTTAGCAGCATAAGATATTAAATAATAATAATAATAATAATGAAAAACGGTTTAGGACTTTGCCGACACGTACTTGCGGTGGTCTTGTAACGTTTTTTGTACGCGCTCATGTTGCCGGTTTCCTCGACGGTTCACAGCACGGTCATAGCGAAACAACGCAACGTCGCAGCGACGACGAGTAGGTTGGTAGGGCGGTAGGGCGGCGGCGGCGGCGGACGAAATAATAATAATAGTAATAGTAATAGTAATAGAAATAATAAAAAAAAAAAGAGAGTAACGAACAACGGCAGAGCGGGGCGGTGAGCCGGCGGCGGCGACACACTGCAGTGGCGAAGCGAAAGCGCCACCCGGACCGTTTCGGACGACGGCTTCGTCGTTATGTACGCGGCGCGATGCGTATACGTCGTTAACGTTGGTGCTCAGCAGCGGCGGTGTCTGCCGGGTGCGCGAGCGCTGCGGCACGACGGCGGGCGACAACAAGCGGCAACCGCGCGGCCAACGACCAACGGAACCTGGGCGTGCGGCGCGCGCGGTTGGCGGCTTGTTCATCGGCCGCCCGTCGTTAGGACCGGGGGGGACGGTTCGGCGGCGGCGATAACAACGTTGCAACGGCGCGCGGCCGGGGAGGCGCGGCCTTATGGCCCGCGCGCCGCATCATCCGACGTCTCTGTTTCCCAGTGCCCCTCCGTGCACCACCCAGCCGTCGCCCACCCCCGGTACGCCTCCACCCGACACTCAAGCACTTCCCCCCCGGTACCTCTCCGCCAGACGATCCGGCGTGTTCCCTACCGGTCGCACGAATTGGCAACGTCTATACGGCGACCGCCGCAAACGTTTCGAGAGTTACGTGCACTCTCCGTCCATCATCACCGACCTTGGGGACCGCCGAGACGTTGTCGCCGGACCACTCACCCCCGATCATCACCCTTTTCGATGGCTAGTCGTTCAAAGCAATATACGTGATGATTTAATACTACATCTACGTCACGTTACTGGTACTTGCCCTGCAAAGACCCGTCGAAAACACAACAGGTCCAAAACGGTTATCGAATAGTACCTACGCAGGGGAGGACCTGCATATCAGAGTAGTGTCTGGATATCAAAAACGCAACAAAAGCCGAAATAAGTACGAACACGGAAGGTTTTGGATCGAACAAATACCATTTTCTCACATTCTTCTTCCATTGTTTAACTTACACACTTTTGCAACGAACCATTTCGAATTCAGGGTTGAAAAAAAGTTTTTTCATGATATAAGTTTTATTTGTGTAAAACGATGTTTTCTCTGTAATGTTTTAAACAATATTTATATTATTCATAAAAATATTATAAAAGTAACAGGGAGTGCCCGGATATTTGTTTATCCTGCAGTATTTTTAAAACAAATTCAACTAAAATTCTAACTGTTCGTATATAATATAATATTATACCTTGATCTACTGATGAAGTACCTATATTTTATGGAAAATATGACGATGCGATTTTATTTTATTTTTAAACACATTTCAAGTTCCAACCCAGAATTCTTAATAAAAGATAATTCACGGGTATATACTATATTATTCACTATATTAATACTTATATTATAATATTATATCATTATACCTACTTTTTGAAACTATTTTAGCTAAAAACTATAATTTGGTATTTGCTATTGTATAATATTCCTTGAGTTTTTCTTTCTCAGAAATTATTTACATTGTATAATGATTCATCGTAAATTGCAATGCTTTGTCTACACTGTGATTACATAACGTTCCCGAGTTAACTAGAGTACTGAGTAGTAACGTAGAGGAGATGACAGTACCTATTTTTTACAGTAAAAAAAAACAGTTTAACTCTTCGGTAATGCAAGAAGCCCAGAAAACAACATTTAACTTTAAAGTATGATGGTGTGAATATATATAGACTATACTTGTCAATAGGTTTACTTGCAGGTCTTTATAATACATGTTTAATAAAATAATTTTATAAATTTTTCCTTCAAAACTGAAAAATCTTTTTAATTTTTTGTTATGGATAATCTTTGCTACAGTTGTCACTTGTCACTATGACAATTGACGAGAAACATTTATGCCAGAGGCCAGGCCCCCCACTATTATTAACTTTATTGTTAGGTTAGTTGGCAGTTGCAACTTGTAAATAGTCTAGTCTGGAAAATGTTATAAACTTCTATGAACAATTTATAATAAAAAAAAGTAAAAACTAGTTACAATGAATTTTAGTTTGCTTTCAGTAATTAGTAATTACTAATTTATAAATATCCGAAAGTTATGTGAATGTGGCTTTGTTATATTATACAAGTAGGTACCTATACTGTATAGGCTATACAAGTATACAAATAGAATATATCAAATAATATAAATTGTGTACCTATTGTCGTATTGTCTGTATACAGAATTCTATACAAGCATTAATTCATAATGTACGGTTTTCGTTGTTCAATAACTTATAATTTACACTTTGCAGCACTAGAATTACTAGTTAGTTATTATGAAGGTTATTTAGTACCTACCTATTAACTATAAAATATGAGTAAGTACGCTTTGAACCAATAAAAATAATAATTTTTATAGCAGGATATAACGATTTTGTTTTCTCAAGAATCATACTAAAGTTGTAGGTGCCGACTGATTATACCAATAGTTGTGTTATAAAAATAAAAATTAATGCAGCACCTAATTTGTTAACCTTTATAAGTAGGTATATACTTACATACAGTGTTGGGGAGTAACTTAACTTAAGTTACAAGTTACTGTAACGAAATTACTTTTTAAGTAATTTGATGGTAATTTAATTACATTTTATTGTAAGTAATTTATATGTAATGTTACTTTTTTGTAGTAATTTTTACTAAATTACTCGTTACTTTTTTTTGGATTAATACATTTTTTAGAACGTACCTATTGATAATATTGTGTGTAGGTAAATATTAAAATATATCATAATATAACTTATTAGTATTTTAATTTATAGGTAAAATGTTATGAACTGTAGGTACTATTTTTGTTATAGCTATTGACAGTTCGACTATAAAGTGTTACTTTTAGAATGGAATTCTTATCTTTACTCTGTACTCTGTGTTGTATCATCGCGGACGGCTCACGGCGTCATCGTCTGCTTATACAGCATTGTTAAATAGTAATAATAATAAAAGGGAGGGGAGACGGAGTGGCCGAGCGAACTAAGGCGTTGGTGGCAACGCGCACCGTAGCTGGTTGGAATCTCGGTAACGGGCAGACTACAGGTGCCCAATTTGAAATTCTTTCAAGCTAAAACACACGTGTTTACAAAAACCTACCGTACCCTCCATCTCAGTTAAAAACCACCCAATTGCTGCGGGTTAGTTAATATAAAAAAAAAATAATTAATAAATAAATGTGTGGCTTGGCTGCTAGCTACCAGTCGCGCAATACGACTGAGAGTAAGTTGCGCCCGCTGCTACTAGTTCCCGGATGGGTGACCACCCGGATTAGTAGTAAAAACCTTGCCACACTTACACGTGTTTACATACATACCGTAACAACACCTTACCATACCAAATTTACCAACCACAGTTTATAATCCCCTACAACAGCTTATGGCCATAGTTTCCGGGCTTAAGTTCAATAAAAATAATAATAATAATAATAGTGTAGCAAAATGAGTATCTGCTAATAATTTCACATTTTTGATTGGTATTACCTATTGAGTTTATGTATTGTTATATTGAAAACATGATTATTAAGCTCCAGTGATATTTTTGAAAAAAAGTAACTTCTATTGTAATTCAGTTACTTTTTAAACTCAAAAGTAATGTAACTTAACCATATTAAAAAAAAGTAACTTAAAAATAATTTAGTTACAATTTTGATAAGTAATTAGTAATGTAATTTAATTTAAAAAAATAAGTAACTTCCCCAACACTGCTTACATATACCTATGTCCATTGCTATGTAACTACAATATATATAAATATATAATACAAATATATAATTGAACAAGTTCTGATATGAACAACTAATAGTTGAATAATATATTATAAAATATATAACTGTTTATTAAAAAAAAATTGTCCATCTATTAGTTTTTTTAATTTTCTCTTAGATATAAAATGTGTCTATTTGATAGTTGACTGCAGATAAAAATTATAGTATATAATATGTATTACGCAATATGTTATTGGATAAATCTACTCTACAAACTGCTACTTTATAGGTACCTATATCGATTAACATTTAACAACTGTATGTAGTCATGTAGGTCATAATAATGATATTATAATGTTTATAGGTTGACATTCTGGGGAAACGAGCGTGGGGCTTAGCATCCCAAAAATTTCAGTAACCCCCATACATAACTTTGCGTGCATCCGTGGACGGATGGCGGACATTTCCCCCGGTTGTTTTCGGCGTAGTAGGACATTTTCCCCTCGATACATTTTTGATGCGGACATTTCCCCCCCCCCCCCATTTTTTTTTGTTTTTTTTATTTTTAATTATTTATCTTCGAATATAAAACACATATTTTTTATTTCAATTTTTAACACATATTTTTAACTTTTGTACATGTTTATTTTTTTTTATTTTTGTGAGAACTGTACTTTAACTAAAAAATCTTTAATCTTAATTTCAATAAAAAATAATAAATAATATTTAAAACAAGTTAAGTAAAAATATAATTTTAAATAAAAGTAAAATAGTAGTAAACTAATATTGAATAAAACTGTATCATTTTATGTCGATATTTTTATCCGATTGTATTAGTTATTAATTACATTTTGTTTATACAATCTTTTTTTTATTTTTATGTCGGATATTTTGGCCAGCTGGCAGCTGTATTATACTATATTATATCTATTATTTAGACAAACTTTTATTTAAAATTATATTTTTACTTAACTTGTTTTAAATATTATTTATTATTTTTTTATTGAAATTAAGATTAAAGATTTTTTAGTTAACAGTACAGTTTTTACAAAAATAAAAAAAATAAATATGAACAAAAGCTAAAAAAATATGTGTTGGAAATAATAATTTTATATTCGAAGGTAAATAATTAAAAATAAAAACAAAAAAAAGGGGGGGGGGGAAATTTCCTACTTCTCCGAAAACCACCGGGGGGAAAATGTCCGGATACCCCGTGGACTATGTAAATACTAAATAGTAATCGGGGTTCACTTTTTACTTTGAATAATACTATACCCCTCCCACACAAAAAAATGAAATATCCACCAATAGATATATGCATATAATTATTATAACTATGTTCTAAGTCTAACTTAGATGCAGACTGAAATAGAATATTATTTAATTAAAATATGCAGGCATTTAAACGACTAAACATTATAGTAGATAAATATTTTTAACTTTTTTGTACTTGAATGCAAAATAGTTAAAACAAAATAAACTAAAAAATACAAATATCATTACTATATATGTCTTAAATATATTATACCTACTCAATTTTAAGATTAAACAGATACCGATATGAATACGAATTAAAACAACTTTGTTATGGCTTTAAAATTAGAATGAATTGAACTATTATCAAACTTCGAAAGTGTCATCAGTGGGTGGCTTCTCCAGTCAATTTGTTCTTCCTTTTTAATTATAGGCCATACTCTTATTGTGCCTTATTGTGTATATTATTAATAAAGAAAAAAAATTATCAAACTTAAGGGTAAGTATAAATGTATAATAGACTAATAATAATATTATTTAGGATATCTTGTAAGCAGTGGGCTTTTATTGTTATTTTAATTTTAAAATGAGTTATATTATTACTAATATAATTTATAACTATGTAGGTATGTAAAGTATTACAATTTTAAAATACCTAGGTACTCATAACTCGCTTAACAATGTTAATATCATAAATACAAGAATACAATCCTATAGATAATAATCTTGAATTTAAATTTGATGTTTCACTGAGCTCAAATGTGCTATTTTGTATGTTTATGTAAGACAGAGACAGGGAAAACACATGCTGGGGACTGAGGAGTCATCTTATTGGTTTTGTCAGTGGCGTTAATTCTAACTGAAGTATTTCTTTGCTATATTTTAAGTTAGT